GAGGAACCGCTGCGAAGAGTCCATTCCTGGATTGAGTCGAAACGCAACGGACAGACCCTTACAAAAATTCTGAGTGGTGGGTCCGATGTGGATGTTGTAATTTCGACTCCAACAAACTCGTTTGACAAACGTGGCGCATATGTGTCAGATGCAGTTCTGGATAGCTATATTAGTGCCAGCGGAACAGATTTTACCGTGGCAACAAACGAAAATGAAGTTGTATCTCATGCATTTACATTATTTAGCAAAGCAAATCGTGCAGCGAATGAATCAATTGATGCATTGGCTGAAAATTTAGCAGCAGAAATTATAAACGCTGAAGTTGGAAGGATATGTAAGCTAATATATAGCAAGTCATTGGCACATCCATTAACCACGACGCTTTTCAACCAAATTTTTGAAGACTGCTTAAAATCCTGTTGTAAAGAGGTAATGATGGCTGCCAAGCTTCATCATCGGCATAAATTAGCGGGCGATGCAGTGAGGGATAAAATTCGATCGCTTTGGACTTCCATGAGCGATTCAATTTTGGATGAAGTCATTAGTACTGCTGTTTGCAGTGCCACTAAAACAACAGTCAGAGACTGTAGAAGGATTCACAATGAGCAGCTGCTGGATGTTGTTGCAAAAAGTTTGCTGGATGCTTTGGTGCTTGAAGCAACTAATAAATACGTACGAGATATAGGAAGATGTAAAATAGATGAGGGTATAAATTATGTCAAGTCACGTCTGGATAAAATAAACAGGCAGCTGGACAGGCTCTGGCTGAAGCAGAATGCGAGCGACTGAAACCGTTTTTGATTGACGAGGAATTCCTCGATGAAAAAGCAGAAGAGAAGAAAAAACCACCCGCGACGTGGACTAAATCATTAAGCGAACGGTCGTCAACACTGCTGGATCATTTCGATAAAAAAACTCTTGAAACAGGTATGAAGATTGCGCGGCAAAACTTGGAGCGGATAAATAAAAACAAACGCATACACGTAGGGTATGATGTTGGCCGAAAGGAATTTTCCAGCAGTTCCTATCCCAGGAAGTCGCAACAATCATTATATGGGGAAAATGTTCAGTGCTCACTGATATTTTCAAAAACGAAGCTGTGTCCTGTCAAAGGAACAACAGTCCCAAGAAGCGAATTGCTAGCAGTATTGATAGGGGTGAGAGCGATGAATTTTGTTGTGAAGCAGTTACAAATGGAAAACGCAGAAAAGTTCCTTTGGAGTGATTCAATGTGCGTTTTGAACTGGATTCGTAAGGGAAAGAAAATACAGCAAAAATTTGTCCAGAATCGCCTTGAGGAGATAAGGAAAACAGATGAAGTATACAAGGCGACTGTAAAACCAGATGAGGAAGATGTAGTCATGAATTACTGTAGCAAG